GCAAAGAAGGTACCCAGAGCATCTTGGACAATGGCAACAATGTCCGGAGCAGCTAGGACAATAGTCTTCTTCCCCCGGAACAGCTTGGACAGCTACTTGGAGCTTGGATTTGAGCGCTTGGACAGCCCGGGTGAGGTAAAATCTCAAAAACTTAGGGAAAGCCCTAAGGCCTCCTAGCCTTTGATGTGGGGTTGACGTCCCCAAGCCCTAGATCCCTTAGAAACTTCGATTTTTTCTCCCAAAATCCCTCATTTGCCGTCCTCTTCACAAAACAATGGAAACTTGGTGGTTTTCATTTGTTGGTTCTCATGTGAGAGTCCTGAGAGGATGTTAATGCGTGTAGGGGGTATCCAACACCTCTCAAATGCACTATTTTTCACTCATATCACATGCTTAGCCTTTGCCTAAAATGAACCATAGGTTTTGATGATATCTTCCTATCCCAAAATGTATGATGTAGTAAGGGTTTCATTGCATTGTAGGTCATATTTCTTTCCCCTAATGCTAATATCGCGACAAAATCGATCTAGTGCATTAAATTGCATTTGTTGAGTTTGTGTTTCATCTTAGATTTGCGAAATTATGTAAACATACTTGTTCAATTTCAAATGTTGGATAAACTAATTTAGTGTACTTAATGGGTTTCCAACATCCATGACTAGACTTTGCCTTGTGTTGAAAATGTACAAGTTTATTTATGTGATACCCTAAATTGGAGAGAACATGTATAAGTAATTCTTTTAAAACTTGCAACTTGTTCAAATTACATGCACATTTCATTTACACATAAATTACCAAAAAAATAATTTATGGTTATATGAATGTGCATATGTTGGAGTTTAAGAATTTCTTTGAGTTCTTGCAAATGTTTTATCATGAACTTAATCAATATGAGAAGCATTTTAATTGAGTTTATGCGCAATATTTCGCAAGATTGGGTAGTTGATTGTTCTTAGTTGTGCAAATCTCTAAATTCAGAAACTCAACGTTATGCCTTTAACACACTAGAAGAATACATACATTAAAACTTGTGGCTCTTTGTAAATTATGACAAATGCACGCAAATGAATTTGAGCGGCCCAAAGCAATTTCTAGCTCATTGTGAAATCCTTCGCATTACTCTCAAAGGTTTATGTTGATGATTTCATAATGTAGAGAGCCAATCAATATCATATGTGATACTTTACAAAGCTCAAAGTTTAGGGTTTGAACCATCACATATTTACTTTTAGGTTTCTCCTAGATCTTGTCAATATTGATCTTTAGGATATCCCTAGAAGCTTCCAAGTCCCCTAGATAATGTCAAAATTGATTTAGAAAACTTTTCAAAGCTTTAGGAATCATCTCTTCTTTCCATGTGTCAAAACATTTATGGAAGAATGGAAAATTTCTCTTCTCATGCATGTCCTCCTTCAAACTTGATGCTTAGAACTTCCTCAAAGTTGTAAGTTCTATGTTGCATGAGTTCAAACATATGCACCTCCATGTGTGACATTTTGGAGCCTCTCCAAGCTCCAAATATTCTATTACATGAAACGTCAAGACTTTAGGATCTTATCCTAAGTCACAACTCCTTTGTTGAGACCCAAAATCAACAAGTAACTATCATCTCCTTTCATGCGTGATAATTTTTGAACCTTCCAAAGTTTCATAATATCGCTACATGAAGACCTTGAAGCTTAGAGCCAACTCTTAAGGTTCCTCTTTCATTTGTTAAGACAAGATCAACAGATGAACATCCTCCTTCGGCATAAGACCCCAATCTTAGCCTATCATATTTACCTAACCCAACTTAGGAAGATGAGCTTATATCATAGAGTACAAACTCGATAATTGGTTCTTGATCCATAGTTCCAAAACTACAATTCATTTCTCTCTTATACATGATGTGTGGAGTTTCCTCAAAGCTCCAAATGCTTTATTGTATAAATCCTATAATCTTAGGATGAAAATCCTAGGTTCATTGTATTTCGCTTGTTGACACAAAATCAACGAGTCAACATCATTTCCCTTCTTGTGTATGTCAACTTGGGTTTCCCTAAAATCCTAAATGCATGCCAAGAGGCCTTAAACTTGGAACCAACTTCCAAGTTCTTCCACCTTGTTTGTTGGAGCATGAAATCAACAAATATTCCCTTCATGTGCCAAGAGACCTTAAACTTGGAACCAACTTCCAAGTTCTTGCACCTTGTTTGTTGGAGCAAGAAACCAACTAATATTCCCTTCATGTGTTATATTTTGGAGCACCCTCAAAGCTCTAAATTATTCTATCACATGAGCCTTCAAGATCTTAGGGCCAAATTCTAAGTCCAAACCTTTATTTGTTAAGATATGAAATTAACAAATGAATAATCCTCTTTCATGTATAATGCATGGAGCATTGTCGAAGCTCCAAGTGTAAATGAGTTATTTGAAACTTGGAATCAAATCCCAAGTTCTTCTATCCTCATTGTTGGAACATAAAACCAACAAATATATTCTCATGCAAGATGTTCTAAGGCTCCTCAAGCCTTTAAACATATCGTTACATGAGTCCTCTAATTTTAGGACCATATCTTAGGTTCTTTCCCCTTCTTTGTTTGTTGAAACACAAAGTCAACAAACAAACCTCACTTTTCTCTTCATGTGTACTTAATTTGAAGCTTCTCCAAAACTTCTACTTACTATTACATGAGGTTATTAAACTCAAAACCAAACTCCAAGTTCTTTCTTTCAATTTGTTTGAACCTAAGATTAACAATTGAACATCCCGCTTAGACTTAGGAACTAAATCCTAGTCTTCCTTCTCTATTCACTTGATTTCAATTAGGTGAATGATCTTATTTCTTTGAATATCAAATATTCAAAGAACATTCATGAAATTTTGTAACTTTCAAGTTACATCTCCATTTACTCAATCCCAACTAAGTGAATGATCATTTCCTAGTGATCCCAACTAAGTGAATGATACAATTCATGTGATGAAAATCCGATTATCAATGTGATGGGGACATCAGATTGTGGAAGGTCTATTAGAGACGCGGCCGTCGATCTACGACAATGATTGAGTCATTGTATTTTTTATTTGTTTTATGTATTTTCTTATTTATGAAGTCATCTTGTATTTACTTTATTAGTTTTCCGTTGTACCTTTTTATTAAGGGAGGTCGTATGTAAGCCCAAGTGGCATTGTCGTCCTTTATTTTTGTGAGTCTTTGTATGTGGCTATTTATAGCCCTAGTGTTCTCCTTTTGAAGGTAATGAATGATTAATTGAAAACTTTGTTTCTCTTGTTTGAATTCGCATGAGAGCTTGAGAGGTTGGAGTGAAATCCCTAAGAGAGGGAAACTTGTGCAATACCCACCAACCTAGACGAGTCAGGGTCGCAGTTCTACCTTCTATCTCTTCTCTCTTCCTCCCTCTATCACCATCAGCCATACCATCTTCCCCTCACCTTGTCCAAAGATCATCCCACCGAATTCTCCCAAAAACCCCCTCCACCTAGCCGCCGGCTCTATTACCCAAACCCCATCCAAGCCGTCGGCCTTAGCCCCTTGCCCACTCTTGGATATACTTCCTAATTTTGATTGCCATAATTTAGATGAAATTTTGAATTCAAATTTACCCAATTTGGAATTCAAAATCTTTCCTAAATTATAAAATCTATTTTAGGAAAGTTTCCAAATCTTCCCCATCGGATTTCAAATTATTTTGGAGTGAATTATTTTCATTCTAAAACTGGTAATCTAAATGAAGGAAGCATTAAAGCCTCCTTAATTTTCTCCCCCATCCCCATAAAGCTGCCGGCCTTGCCCTCTAAGCCGCGGGTCCCACTCATCTTCCCCTATTCCTTGAGTTCCTAATTTAGTTTGGAGTTAATTTAGGATCAATTTGGAATTCAAGTCAATTGAATTTGAAATTCAAATTCTCTCCTAGTTTTAACTTATCTATTTTAGGAAAGTTTCCATAAACAATTCCAAATCAAATTCTATTTGAAGTTGATTTAATATCTTGCCTGATTTAAGACTCTCTTGATTAGGCAACCCCCTAATTAATTCCCTAACCTCCTCTCTCTCTCTCACAATGTCGCCAGCCCCCCTAGTCTAACCGCCCATCTCTCTCTCCACTCCCTCTCTCTCTCATTAATTTCCCTCCCCAATTTTGGGTGAATTAAATTCCCCTCCAAATTTCTTTCCTCTTAATTTCAAAATCTGAAATTTATTTTAGAATTTTGAATTTAAACTTCTCCTCCAACCTTTTCCTAACTCACGTGTGGCTCCCCTCTTTGGCCAAGCCCTCTCCCCTCCTCATCTCTTACTTCTTGCGAGGATTCCTTTTCTCTCAAGAGATCTAGAAGCTTTGAAGGACACACAACAACGCAAATGTATGGCCGATCTGGAACTTGACTACGGCCTCTCCTATGAAAAGCAAGGGTTTGTTTGCATCTTACATTCGACCTTCTTTGACGTCAACCCCCGCATCGATCACACCGTACAAGAGTACGTGGAGCGCATTTTGGATACCTTGGTCGAGGCTATTGAAGAGCAACTTGGAATCGTCGAGTGGAGGATTACAACCGATCCTTGACGAAGGTTTTCTAATCTCCCTTTTCTTGTATTTCTTAAAGTCTAACCCGTCTTTGTGATTTGATTGTAGTCAAGAAGATCGTGTTTACCCAATTCTGCCAAGCTTAGTAAACATATGGAATTGAGTGCACTTCATTTGTTTCTAATCTCATTGTTAGATTAGGTATTTTTGTTGAAAACTATTATATTTGCATGATCTTGATTTCCTATGTTATTTTGATGATTCAAAGTTCTTATTTTGCAACTTAGCCTAAATGGAAGTGACCGCCCTTAAGTTTTATTTTGTCGTTTTATTTTCTAATAAGTTTTAATTGTTATTTCTCTAATCAGCAAGCTCTTACAAAATTTGCTTCAAGCATTGTAGTCCTACATCACAATGTATATGGATCCTGGATGCTTTTCAATCCTCTTCGTGAAACCTTGTGTTGTCTACAGGATGTGGTTGAGATAATGAAGGAATCTTTGTACGACAAACTTTTGGATGAGCATGGCTTTGTAGATTTTACTAGGAATGGTGGGATGAGCCGGCAGAAAGAAGCCAAAAGATTCTTGAGTGCCCTCCACAAAGAATCTGAACTTAAGCAAGATGAGTGCTTCTCAATTTCGGTTAAGTGCTTCCATTGTTTTGTGCTAATTAGGTACCCTGTTACAAAGAATATGAACATAAAAAAGTTGTAAAGTGGCATAATAAGAGCATAACTTTTTTCCTAATGATTAGGTATTGCTTTACGTAGAAGGCTTTCATATTAATGCGCTATTGCAATTGAAAAACATTATTGCAGGTGATTTATTATCTGAACTAACTTATTCCGTAATTTCTTCTATTTTCTATCAGGAAATATACAGTTTGGCTGATATGATTGGCTTGAGAGTTCCAGACGTTGACACTTTTTTGGATAACTTGAACAGTGCTGGCTATCTTCTTAAGAAAGGACCAAATAAGTATCAGGTATTTCGTTTGTAAAACATGAACTTATCTTGAGTAGCTCTTATCAAGTTTTGTAGTTTTAACAGAATAAAACAAGAGAAAGCTAACAAATGGTTAAAGGAATAATGTAAGAGTGTAATACCCCACGATACCTCTTATTAGTAATGTAGAGTGCCACAGAAATGAACATAACTTTCATTCTTTTCATTTCATATTCCTCATCATTTGCATACTTATATAAAAACAACCACCGACAAATGCATTTATTGAACAAACAGAACCATCTAAATAGTCCAAATTTCATCCTAATTACTTACAGAGCTACTAAGGAAATCAGAATACATCACTACATTTAGACAATTTACATACTTCACAAGAAGATATTATAAACACTTCTAAATAGAAAACCTAATCATTCCAACACTTTTCTAATCAGACTCAATTTTCTCCTTTCATTTTCCTAAAACAACAGCCAATATAAAATAACTGATGAGCTAAGAGGCTCATAAAATTATGCAAATTTAATAACAATTTAAATGCAAGACTATAGAAATAACAACATTAGAATCATAATTGAATCAAAGTTACTATTATTTGCACAATAACATAAAAGCATATTTAGAAGCATTCTTTCATTCATTTGAAATCTATACAGAATATCATAGTTAGTTTTCGAATGATTTGACTATCATTTTCATATAGTTAACTTTATAATATTGTTCAATGGAGCCTAGGTAAATCTTACATTATCGCCATTGAATTACATAAAAGTTCATTTTGCCTCTTTAGGGGTCATTTTTATCCCACATGCTATGCAGGTATCATATTTGGGGTACCTTTTGCCCCATCTGCTATGCAGGTATCATTCCAACCTTCACTAATTTGATATTCAGCAAATTTCAATTATTCATAATAAATACTTGTTTTATATCATTGCATACTTTTATAACAATATATCAATTATATTGTTTGCATAAGAGAATATGTAGATAATATTTAAAATTTTTAACTATTTTCCAAAATATTACCAACTCATAAAAGTTTTAAACAATCTTACTTGATCTTATTTCAACTTCCAATCATTCATATGGATATGTAGGTGCTTGTACAGGAATACTAGGAGGTATGCTCATATTCACTAATTTAAAATCATCTTAATGCAATTATACCTTCAAATGAATAAAGTGACTTTGTATGTATATATAATTGATAACATTCACTTTTGTAATTTAGAATTGCATAACTTATCTCTTTGACGATTTATCTCCTCAAATTCTCTACCTCGTACTCTTATTTCTTTGTAAGTTACCTACAATCACCTCTCTAATTCTATGATTTCTACAATTTATAATTCAAATAAATTGCATGAAATAAATTTATACTAACATAACCATTTACCTCGTAACCTCCCTTCTGCAAAAACTCGATGAATCCTGAAATGCAATTTGTGTAAACTTATTTAGAAACTTGTACAACCTTTGTAAAATTATCAACCAATTTAAAACAACTAAATTTACTTTAACTCATATTCTTCTTTCCTCAATTTCCTTCTCTTCCTTTCTCTTTTTCCACTGAATTAGTCACCACTTCACTCATGGCAACAAACAGTCGTTCTGCTTCTTACTCCACCAAGAAACAATTCTCCTCAATGCTACTAATATCTCACAGTCGCAGTTCTTACATAGAAATTTCTCTCAATTAACTTTTGTTCTGCTCACAGGATCCACAAGACATGCTTCCCACTTTCTTTAGCTCATAGAACCGAGCTCCTCCCTACAGCTAATCACTTCTTCACAGCACTGTGCCAGTCCCTTCTCCAGTGCACTGCACTGTGCCGTGTAATGCAAAAGTTTCCTCACCCGTGCTTCTCCTCCACTGATAACTGCTATCTGATTCTTCCTTCCCACACTCAAATCTACACTAATCAATTCGGTTTGTATATCTGAAACCAAATGGAAGTGGGGCCCACTGCAACTGCCATCACACTTTAGTCTTTTCAAAGCATCTATTCAGGAAATAAAACAATTATCTGCTTTAATTCAATCTTTACCTAATATCTAATATTTACTTAACAGAAATTTTAACTTATTACTGTAAAAATTATGTTAAGTATAATTATAATTTAAACTGAAAAGAAAATAATTTATTTAAATTACTTCATAGAGTTTATGCATTTTTAGAAATTTACATTTAAGATATACTTCAATTATGAAAAGAAATTTATATTTCTTTATCTGAAACTTTTGGTTATTACAAAGTGGGGGCGCTGGAACATTTAGCTCATGGTTGCTAAATGGTTTACCAGGGCCATATTTGAGGCTTATATATTAATAGCAGCAACCATATATGGAACCGACCCAAAAACTAAAATCAAAATAGTGAGATACATATCAACCCCAGCTCCTTTCATATCTAGGACTGACCAACTCTCATTGTCATCCAAACAACCTCCCTCAAAAGCAAATTTTTTTCTCTACATTTGAATCATCCTTCTCCTTCCCTAAGTTTGGATTATTCTCCTTTAATCAAACGTTTTTTAACAGTTGAGTGTGCACACCAAATCCAATCAACCATTGGGAAGCAATGTGGGAGTGACCTCTTTTGGTATCATGCTCAAGTAAAAAGTTAATCATTAGATTCGCAAGTCATATAAGTCATTCGAGCCCAATTGAGACATCACTTGTCCTGTTCTAATCGTGTATTATGTCATAACCTAACAGTAAATAGTAGATATGTTTATTTGTGAGGTTTCGAAGCAAACTTTTTTCCCAAATGATTGAATAGGGATTCACTTTTTGTTCAAATTTGAATCTATAAATTGATCCATCTTTATGCAAGTTAATTCAGTTTTATTCTGGCAATTTTATCCAATTACAAATTAGTAATAATAAGCTTGTGCTTAGATGCTAGTATTTTGAGTAAAAGGAAATGCAGAATTGGGTTTGAAAAGTTAATCTAATTGCAGTTTCATAATCAGCCCAGAAATTAAAAAAATATATATAAAAAAAAAAAAAAAATCATCCCAGAAATTATCGGAACCATTTTTCAAACTTTGTTGTCATCCTTGCACAAGGCCCATACTAATCGTCTCTGAATAATTGCGCAAAGCTGAAGGAAAATAATGAAATTTCTTCACTTGAGCGAGATTTTCTCATATTTTTATAACTGCTACTGTAAATTTAATGGATTGTTATTTGGAAACTGAATGAAGATCTTACCATCATGTTCATGATGTGCTGGGTTGACTATTTGACTTTTGAGAACTTTCAAAAACTTAAGATTGGAAGTGTAAATCTATATCTGATAAAGCTTTTTCTTTGCAGGTCCTGTCTTCATCTTTCTCGTAGTCAAGCGACTTGGTAACTTGGTTGAGCTGTTGGATAAGCAATTGACAAGAAATGTAGAGAAAATTATTCTTGTTCAATATTACGGTTCTCTGATTTTTCATATTGATTCAGAAGGGAAATATTTTAGTCCAGTTGAGAAAATAACAATTTTGATATGCTTGTTTTTGTATTTGCTGTTTGTTTTCATTTAAAATTTCTTTGCTATGCTGCACTTATATGGAAAGTAATTAGGTAAGGATATCTTGATTTAATTTTAAGAGTATAATTTTATAATATTAATTATCAATATCTTTTGACATTTGATATGTTTATTATATATAGATTATGATTCGCGAATATAGATGCAGGGATATGGATAAAATATTAGAAATATGAGATGCCTACTATTAAAATTATATTATTTAAGATGAAGGTTGAATTGCAAGTCACTAGACAGTTTTTATTAGGCTTAGTGTATGTGTGTGGGTTATGGGTTGTATCTATGTTATTTGTGAGGAAGAAGGATTGCAAGATGATTGTGTGTATTGATTAATATAATTAAATGAGGCGACCATTAAGATTAAATATCCTTTGTTAGGGTTGATTTGTTTGACCAGTTAGAATTTGCATGTGTTTTTACACAGATTTAAGATTTAGGTACAACTATTTAAGAGTGAAGGTAGAGGATGTACAACAACAACAACAATATCAAGCCTTTATCCCACTATGTGAGTTCGGCTACATGAATCCTTTTTTTTTCATTGTCCCATTAAAAGTCAAATTCTCGTTTAAATCTAATAAAGAAAGGTCATTCTTAATATTTTTTAACCAAGTCTTTTTAGGTCTACCCCTATCTTGCTTAACATTAGTCAAATCTAATATCTCTACTTTCCTAACCGGGTCATTGGAAGGCTGTTGTTTTATGTGACTAAATCATCTAAGGTGACTCTTTCTAATCTTATCTTCTACTGGAGCTACTTCAATCTTTTCACGTATATGCTCATTTCGTATTCTATCTCTAAGGGTAAAGCAACTCATCCACCTGAGCATCCTCATCTCTACCACACTTAACTTAATATTATGCTTCTCTTTTAATGGCCAACATTCGGCATCATAAAGCATTGCAGGCCTCACTATCATCTTATAGAATTTTTCCTTAAGTGTGAGGGGTATATTTCTATCACAGGACAAGCCCGATGCATTCCTCCACTTCAACCATCCAATTTGAATTATGCTGATAATATTCTCATCTATTTCACCATCACTCTGAACAATAGATCTAAGATATCTAAAACATGTACTCTTATTAATGACTTGATCGCCCAAAGTCACAATCCCCTCATTAGGTCTATTAAAATTACACTCCATATATTCCATTTTAGATCTATTCAAGCGAAAACCTTTAGACTCTAAGGTTGACCTCCATAATTCAAGTTTACCTTCAACTCCCTCTATAGTCTTATCAACAAGAACAATATCATCAGCAAAAAGCATACACCTAGGTACATCCTATTACAAATGTCTAGTGAGAACATCAATGACTAAAGCAAAAAGATATGGACTTAAGGCTGATCCTTGATGTAACCCAACCGAAATAGAGAAATACTTGGTCAATCCACCTTGTGTTTGAACACAAGTAATAGCTTTTGCATACATATCTTTAATGATTTGAATATAAGCATTATTGACTCATTTCTTTTCAAGAACTCTCCATAGCACTTCTTTTAGAACTTTATCATATGTTTTTTCTAAATCAATAAATATCATATGTAAATCCTCCTTATTTTCTCGACCTACCCGACATGAATCCAAATTGATTTTGAGAAACATTAGTATCACGCCGCAACCTATGCTCCATAACTCGCTCCCATAGTTTTAAAGTGTGACACATTAACTTAATACCTCTATAATTCGCAAAATATTGTGCATAACCTTTATTCATAAAAATAGGAATTAACACACTCATTCTTCACTCATCCTTCTCTCATTTGGTAGAGGATGTGATGAAAATAATTTTTAATATTCATTATGGTCATTATGAGTTTTTAGTCGTGCATTTTGGTGTGATTAATGCATTAATTGCATTCATTGATCTAATGAATTGTGTAATCAAGGCATATTTAGGTCAATTTATTATTATTTCTATTGATGATATGTTGGTATATGTGAGGATTGAGGGTGATCATTCTATTTATTTGAGGTTGGTATTCGATATTTTGAGGTAACACTAGTTATATGCCATGTTTTCAAAGTGTGGACTTTGGTTGAGGTCTATAGCTTTTTGGGGTCATGTTATGAGCAGAGATTAGATATTTGTGGTCTTTAGATGGTTAAGTAGTAAGTAGTTGAATTGTCAACGTTGGCTTCAGTATCATAGGTTATTGCTTTTTGACATTTTTTGTTATTATAGGAAGATAGTCAAAGGTTTCTCACAAGTTACAACTTCTTTGATAAGATTGACATTGAAGATCATGTTTTTTTATTGCATAATAGAGTATGAAGCCTGTTTTCATTGTTTGAAGGATTGCATTGTGTCAATGCTAGTTATTATTAATTCATCTCATTTTGATAATTTTTTAGAGTTTAATAATGCTTCTCCAGGATGATTGGGTTGTGTATTATATTGATTTCACAACTTGACTCAATACAACTCATATATAGATAGAATGGGTCATATTGCATTGGATTGTTGCGGGATTGGAATCCTAAGATATAAGTGGAGAGAATTATAGAAATTTCAAATAATTTACAAACTATAGAGCTATTAAAACATCAATTAAAACAAATAATATTTATCATCAAAAACTTTTTCAATAATTAAAGAATTATTTAATTAAAACAATTATATTTAAATAGTATATGATGCATAGAATATCAAATAGAATAGAGAAAGTCATGATTGTTAAAAATTTACCTAAAATACCTATATAAACTTGATGATTAGATAATATAATCTTTTTTGTATTTAGTCTGCTCCTTTTTCTTATCCTGTCCTAAAATAGATGCAGAAAGCAAGCATGAGCAATCATAACTTAACAAGCCACATTCAATCTACTGAAGTCTTTAATAACAAAATAATGAAGTAGAATAGTAAAGTATGTTTGTATGTGCATAAGTACAAATAGACTTTAGAATAAATAGGTATTTATAGAGTAGTAAACATTAACTTCAACACATTGCTTCAAAAATAGTAGAATGATATAATAATAAATTAGCAAAATAGAAAAAATAAAAGCATCATCTCCATTTCTTAGAATAGGTAATTTTTTTCTTAGATTATTTTATCTCCCAATAAATATTATAATTTAAAATTCAGGCTCTCATGCCTATGCTAGCATATCAAATAACACTCTTATAACTCTTAAAACATAGCACCATAGATTTTTAGAGATTTCAGATCCTTGTAACATCTAATATATAGCATGTATGAACCCTATTCGCATTTACATATTTTAAGAATATAAAGATAGAAATGAATGCATTTTCAAGTATAGTAGTCTTAAAATTATCACAAAATGTCCTACAAATCAGATGGAAATTTAAGGGACAATTGTATACAAAATTTAAATTTTTTTTTAGAAATTTATTTGATGTGACTCACCTTGGAGGCTTAAATTAATGGATGGAAACAGACGATCGGACATGATTTAAAATTTTATATACTGAAAGAGCCTTCAAACCTTAAATGTATTAAAGTCAAATGTTATAAATGCATTTCTCTATGAGCATCACGTCTATGATATTTGTTCTTTCCTCTTACATTCATTAAAACTCTTTGGATGATACATGTGAACAATTTTGCAAATATAGAGTGAGTTAAAAGTTAAAGATTGTTTTTAAATTATAATAATACAAGACATTTGAAATAATATGCTTACACATTTAATAACATAAAGTAATTCTATTTAAATTTTATTTTGAATATGACCATTAATGTTATTCATATTTATACTTGTCATATATGATATATATTTATCTTTTTTGCAAATAATATAACCATCATAGAAGACACCGTCTAAAATAATACTAATAAAGGTACTTCATTTTCTATTTTCTTTTTCATAACCATTTCATTTCACACACACGAGTATATTGCATTCTCAACCAGTATTATAAGGGAGTGTTATTGATTAATCAACATGCACATGAACGTTTTTCTATATTATCATTTCATTCATGTATCATTTAAAAACTATTTATATTACATATTTTGAATCCTTATGCTGGCCGTCAATAAATTCAATATTACCATTCATTGAAATTAAAAAAAAAAATTAATGCTAAAATTTTATAATAATCATTAACTAATGAATGTCAATTGATTCAATATAATCAGATTAGATAAAATAACGTTATTATTGTACAAATAGGAATGCAAATACTTGCCTCGAATTTAGATGTTCTAAAGTTTCGGCCACTTCTTACTCTAATGTCGATATATTTTATACCTATGTAAAGCCATTTTTATTATCAAAATAGCTTGCAAACTCTCTTACTCAATATTTAAATTTTATCTTTTAAATATATTACTTAACATTAAATGAAGTTTCTAATTAAATCTTATATTTGTGTGTATGTGTTTTCTCTTTCTAATTAGCTATTAAATATATATGAATAACTCTTGTATTTAATTTATTTTTAAAAGAATTAAATTAATGATAAATTTATTCTCCTCGTTTTATCATTTAAAAATAGATACAAATAAGAATAAATTCTAAGCCAAATACCAATAAATAATCAACTTTGAATACTGTACACAGCAACTGAAAGGGCATGATTTATACGAGAAAACTTAAATATTGCTCTGTTCTTCTCAAAAGATTAACGTCTTCCTTAAGCAGAGCCTGTAAATAGCGCATTTCTTTCTCAAAACGCTTAACAGTATATTCCCTTGTTTTTATTTAGATCTAAACACCCATCACCCTTCGCTGCCTTGTCACAAGAATGGCTTCCATTACTCTCCCAAAAACCTCTACTTAAATGTCTCGCCCTCAAACACCAACCAAAGCACCTGTCGCCATTAGAGGAAAATAACATAGTTCCAACCTTTCACATTACAAGGCTACTCCAACTCCCCACATTTTGCGGCATTTTAAGAAAGCAATGCAGAGAATGGAAGATTAAATGGAGCATATGAAAATAAATGGAAATCGAGGAACACTTGTTCTTTGTTTTT